CAGGTGATGAGCCAACCCCTGCCCAGCAGGGTGCCCAGGTGCCTAATCATAATATTCTGGACACGGCTGAAGATGGCACCGTGGTAGTACAGCAGGACAACACGGCAGCAGGGCCCAGGAAATGCTGCTCCTGCTGACCCCTGCTGCTGGGCCTCCCTTCTGGATGACAGCCTGGAGGAGATGGACAAGTACAAGTCGGCAGGCGGCCACGTGTCCTACCTCAACAAGTAAAACCTGGCTGACAAGACGATTGGCTGCTATCTGGTGGGCGGCTCCAAAGACAAGCCGAGCACACCATCAGTGCTTGGGGCGGGCTTGGTGCTCAGTGACATGGCAAGTATATATTATGGCAGATTGCTGTACACTCTGTGTTCTAACTTGCAACATATAATTTGGCCATTTCTGCAACTGATTACTCAGTTGGATCCGGTTTTACTAATTCTTTGGTGGTGCAGGCATCGGTTTCCATTGAGGACACCATTGAGATCCTGGTCATTGGCAAGATGAAGGGGCTGCACCACCGTGCAAAATTTACCCTGCCTGAGCCTACCAAGACACTCGCCATCAAGGACTCTACCCCTTGACCATGTTTGATAAAGTAAGGAACGACAGGACATTAATTAACCACCAGCAGTTCCTGTATCCTGACAAGCTTTCATTACTTCCTATATATGCAGATAACCTGGCCTGTTCTGGGCATCCTGGCTATCGACAAGCTTGCAGACATGCTGTGCCCTGGGCGTGTGATACCCTGGGCGTCAGTGCAAAGCAGATATCATCAGCCTTGAAGGGGAACAACATTAAGGGTTAGACGTAGTTGTGACTTCTGGGGCATGGAAACAAGTACAGAGGGATGGTCGGTATAATTGAGGGCCTGCTACATACTGCTAACTAGCATCATGATTAATGTTTGACCTATGTGTCGGGATGGAGTTGGCATGCATGCCTGCTCCTTCTGCACATGTGTATGCATGCTACAACATGTACATATCTCGAGCCATGGTATTGAAAGGCTGTTGTGTGATGGGTGTTGTTGCTTGACCCACTAGGATGGATGGTTGCCCATTGCAAATGGCTGCAAAGCCTTGAATTCATGCTGCTGTAAGGCAGCCAGTTTGATTGGTGTAGTAGACCATACGTAATTATTAAACCCTCTATGCATCATGGGCTTATGAAAGGCTGCAGCTGTGCTAAGTAGCCACTGTGTACACATGTGTTCATAACATGGTATGAATATCCTTATGGCTGTTATGCATTGTTCATCAAGTTCCTGTACATGTAGTACTACTAGTGCTGGTGTGTCGTACATATACATATATACGTAGGTCATGAACTTAGCAGGCAGCATTGTTAACACATGTGTGTATACACTGACGCTTCCGGAGGTTCCAGGATTGCCACCAGTCAAGGTAAAACGTTTTACCGATGGTGGAAGGTAAGAGTGCCGCTATTTGATGAACAGTAACGGCCTGGGATAATGTTGACATTAGAGCTGACCAGGAATGGACTCCAGCCGCCATTAAGTTTGCAGATGTACATGTCGTTGGATGACGGTGGTGGGAGCACTCCTGAGATGTACCCGAGTGATTCACTGAGAAGATGGCTAGGGTGACTGGATGAGGGTGCCCTGAAATACCTGGGTAGACAGAGTTTCACCTGGTAGCGACCACCGGTGTAGATATGCCCGCCTGTCCCACACATAATGTATAAGGGGTTGTGTTACAAATGTGGAAACGGTTGATACCCACAACTGAGATTTTATACATGTCATTCCAAATGTAACGATTGATTATATATCATGCTGTTCGTTAAATGATGTCATTCCATGCTACATGGCAATATAATCTTCCGATGACAATCTGGATGCACCTATTTATTAAAGAATCAATAATTTGGCCTAAGAATGTAAAAGAACACCCCTAAGAATGTAAGAGAATACAGAAGGCTGCTGGCCCTAAAGAATGCTAAAATAGTGGTTTTATTTCATAAGAATGAGACTTAAGAATGGGTGCCATACCTAGCAAACCCTATGGTAAGAATGGTTAAAACCCGCCAAAGAGCAGCTAAGTATGCTTTAGGCAAAGAATCAATAAGTTGGCCTAAGAATGTATAAGAACACCCAAAGAACGAAAAGAATACATAAGACTGCTGACCCTAAAGAATGGTAAAGAATCGTAGAGAATGGTAAAGAGTGGTTTTATTTCTTAAGAATGAGACTTAAGAATGGGTGCCATACTTAGCAAACCTATGGTAAGAATGGTTAAAACCGGTCAGAGAGCAGCTAAGTATGCTTTAGAGAAAGAATCACTAAGTACGTATAAGAACACCCCAAAGAATAGAAGAGAATACATAAGACTGCTGGGACCTGAAGAATGCTAAAGAATTTGAAAGAACGGTTTTAAGATAAACGGAGGTCATACGAATGTTCTTAGAACGTTCTTAGAACGATGTAAGAACGTTCTACTGATTATTCGATTTTATCAATTTGGCTGGGCTAAGAACGACTTAAGAACGTTCTTAACCCCCCTCCGCGTTCATAGGGATCACTGCATGCATCATTAGGAACGGATGTGTAAGTGATGTAATGTAATGATGGTTCTAGTCACCCAGTAGGCCTACCTAGGTGTGAATTCAATGCAATATTAATGGTCAATCGAAAGGCATTGTGCCGGGCTGCTTACCTAATTCGCGACTTCGACTTATTGGTCTTGTTGGAGTGATTGGATGGTGTTGTCGACAACAGGCTGTCAAGCACGCGCTTGCAGTCGATGGGCGGGATTTTAAGCTCAGCCAGAAGCTTGAGTGCCCCCTCGCGACCTGCTATGTCTAGCTCCGAGCGGATCACTTCTGAAATACTGTCCATGTTCTCCTCATTTTCGATGCATGCTCTCCTAAGAGCATCAAGAGTCTTGGGTGGGAGCTCCGGATGTTTGACCCCAAACGCGGTCACACCTGGTGAAGCGTAAGGCGCCCTTCCAGGAAGATTCTCGGGCGTCATTTGAAGTCTTGCAGGATTAGGAGCACCATAAGCTCGGGCCTGTGCTGCAGGAAGACGGTCAACGGTGGTCTGGCGGTGGTCGACCCGCCCTACCACGCCATCATTTTCGCCGCCATAAGCACCACCATATGGGGAATTGAAAATGTGCATTGTGTGCATTGTTTATGTAAACAATGGTGGCAGTGAATACGATCGACCGAGTTGTCGATATTGGTCGTCGCTTAGCTTAGCTTGTCCGTCTTATTAATAAACGAGCCAAGGGTATGTAGTATATGAACGTAGCTATGATTAAATTTGAATGTACCTATTAGGAGTATCCATGGAGGCAAAGCAGCCTGTGTACGACCACGTTGTCGAGTGCAACCTGTAATTTGTCCGCCTACCACAGGACTGATTGCCAATGTTTTCACAATGAGAACTTCTATTTGACAATGGCTGAGAGCCAAAGGCATGCTTGCAGTGAAGGGTCAGAGAGCAGCGAGATCGACGTTTCCCCTGTCCGATTCGGACTGAGAGGTTTGCCGGTAGTAGCACACATATCCAACCAGACAACAGAAGTGTCTCTCGCTTCTGAATCACCTTCTGTCGCACCGTACAACCTCCGTCGGACACCCAGTCGTGTCCAGCGTTGGCAGCGGTTGGGAACACAGGCTGCATCTCCAGCACACAGCCTCCGGCAGCACAAACTAGATTTTGAACAGGTATTGGCGGCTGTACTGGAGGAGCAGAACGGAAGCGGTGATGGTGATAGTAACGGCCCACCCATGGTCTTGGGCACTCCTGCAGCGGAGGGCACCCAACATGGCCACTCCCCAACCGTATTCAGCCACGGAAGCCCCGGGGGTGCACCAGCCGCTGGGAATTACCGCCGGTTGCCAGCCGGCAACCCTACATTTGACAGGCCCGTACCTGTGGTGCGCCGTGATGTGCCAGGCGGGGAACAGTCACCAATGCAGTCCCTGCTTTCCCCGAAGTCCATGCAGTCCCCACCATCCCCGGGACTGCAATCCCCTCGAACAGGTCAACCAGAAAGTAGTGGTGGCAGTATCCATGGCGACATGGGGCACGTGCCTCTGTACGATCTTCCCATGCCTGGCCATGGGTTACAGCCTCAGGGCCCCGATGATGATGATGATGATGGACTATCTATGGATGTGGGAAGGCCTAGAACTGCCAACGCGAGAAGAACTCCTGGCGGAGGAAGGTGACACACACCGACGTAGCTGGCAACCGGGTGAGCTTGGTGGTGAAATGTGTGAAGTTGTCATGGTACATGTGTATGCTTGAAACGGGTGATTTCACATTCTTGCCAGGGAATGATGGCAGTCGGCCTCTCACACGGTTTCAGCGTGTGGCTTATCCAGAATTGCCGAACAACACTGCCATTCGTGCACTGGTAGTGACAGCTTGCCTTCACGCACTTGACGTCAAGGACAGCAGCCCATCTGCCACGGAGACGGTAGTGAGGGAGATGCTCAGCAAGAAGCATGCTGACTTCACTGGGCCGTATGCCAGCAGGGAACAGAGGGCAGCAGCACCATTTCTTCCAACGTCCTTCAAGCAAGCACTTACCCAGCTTCAAGATGTGGGTGGTTGTCGATGGCCAAGGCTCATTCGGTACGACATGTGCCCCTGTGGGTTCATTTACCGTGGGCCCGAGTATCGGGGGGCTGATCATTGCGGGGGCATGGTACCTGGCCCGCGGGCAGGCGAGTGGATTGCCTGTCCAAAGATGCGCTCGGAGGCAAGATATCTGACCTATAACCCAATTGGCGGGTTCTGCGGGCGTGTCTTCAGCAACAAGCAGCTCGCGGAGGAGTTCTCCAGCTGGCAGAGCCCAGATCGGATGAGGCGCAATGGGCAGCTGAGGGACATTTGTGATGCAGCTGTAGTCCAGGAACTGCTGGCCTCGGACCCCCGTTTCCGTGATCCCCGCTGCCTCGTCACAATGATTGCCTCCGACGCGTTTGTGGTGAGTTTGCTTGGATTTGGGATGGTTGGGTAGGCCGGAGGATCGAATATTGCCATGTTCACTGTCATCCCTATTAACCAACCTCCTGCCTGCCAGGTGCCTGCAGACGAGCAAGAACGCTCAAGCACGGCGTGGCTTCTACTCGTTGTCAACACGCCTCCGGAAAAGCGGTACCTGCTGGGATATTGCACAATCTTGTGTGTAACGGCGGGAAACGTCAAGCTGACGGGCCAGAAGCAAGCGGAGTATTTCGACCCCAATCATACCCTTCTACTCATCACGGATGACTTACTGACACTGATTACCGAAGGTGTGGTGGTAACGGACGCAAGAACTGGTGAGGAGTTCCCACTGTATGTTGCTAACGTGGGTCTTGTGATGGACTATAAGGGCTTCCAGAAGCATCTCGGCCTCAAGGGCACCCCCTCACCGTCTGGCTGCTTCAAGTGCTGTGCTGTCGGGCACAGGGTGGGCACCAAGACGGTTTGGTGTAACCATCATCGCTGGCTCTCGCCAGGTCATCCCTGGCGTACTGATGTTGCTGATCTGCACAGGTACGGAGATGGGGCTGCACCAGTTGTATTCTCTTCTCTCTAAACCCTAAGTTGTCTTTCTTTCTCTCTAATTCTGACATGTTAGATAAAAAGCCTGGGCCCTCCCTTGTGGGTCCACCCGTGCTGTGTGCAGGTTAGCAACGGCTTGTGGCACTGACGAAGGACCACCTCCATTTCGAACACGGCAGGAGCTCACGGCAGGTGTTCAGGAGCCACCAGCTGTCAAGGCTGCACTTGCTGCGAATGCTGGGGTGCAC